TTACAAGTACAGAAGTACACCATGTTACTCCATTTAACTCTATAGGAAATTTCTACCTGCTGTGCAGCATTTTTCTTCCTACTACCTGTTGTGAACTTAATACCTATGATAGTAGGTATTATGATAGTATACCACAGGTAATACTTAATACCTGTGAAAGGTGCCAAACCTTATGAATGGGGTTCTGGAGAATGAAGCCCTTCAGTTATCTACAGGATAGATAGCTGAACAGAAGCAGCAAAAGCCTTCTTCAGGTTTTTCCAGCAGTTACTATCTGGAAAAATGTTAATTTAATAATTAGACATTGAGATCTAGTAGTAGACAGAACACTGGGTTGGGGTGCAGCAGACCTGGATTTTGTTCCTGGCTCTTGCTCTGAGCTGTGTTTCACCCTCCATTCTCCAGATTCCCATCAATAAAACAGAAATAAAAGCCCTTTGAGATCTATGGATAGAATACACTGCAAAATCTAAGTTCTATTATCCAGAGGTAGTAAGGCCATTCGGTCTCAATACTCTGCCCAGGTTACCAAGTTCTGGTGGTCCCTAGTGACACAAAATGGACTTGGACCACTAAATTCACATTGCAATATTATGAAAAGATTGTAATGAGAAAAAAAGAAACCCAAGCTATTCCCTATTTGGGTATATAATATAGACAGCATTCAGCATAAGCTGGAAAAGTGAAATTTATAGGCCTAGAGAAGCACCATTCTGGATTTGATATGGATTAAATGGAAGCTTTAAAATTTTAGTCTGTGGACCACCAGTAACCAGACAGCCCTTCTTTGGGGTCCTTGAAAAGAAATAGTGGAGAACCCATGCTGCACAGTTAAGGGCACAGGAAAGGAAGATCTGCTTCAGGATCTCTTTCCCATGCAAGTAGCCTACAGAATATAAAAGTTTCAAAAAACAGTGTATTAGATGCTGTTCCTCCATGATCAGGACATAAGCATAACACAACTCTGCTTTACCTTAGATATATCTACACAGCCCAGTGCAGTGGAGGAGAGGCTACCCAAATGACCTCAGGTACTGGAAGCAGTCCTGCAGTACAGAAGCTAATTTATCTTATTGTTTAGCGCTAGCATGGGTATCTCCATGTTTCATCACAATCTGCAATGCAGACATTCCCTCAGATATGCTAATGTTATTTTCTTCTCTAACTGGGAAACTTCCTTTCTTAGACAGCATGCAAACTGTTCCTTTAGTAGACAGTTTTAATGAAATTATTTAAAAAGATGAAGCCAAAAACATCCCCTAACTTACTGGTCAAGGTTGACTACACAGTGAGCCGCAGTAACCACCACATCTTCTTGGATTAAACTGCCACCACAGAAGTGGAAATGACCCAATTAGAGAGAGATCTAGAAAGGTCACACAACTTCAAGAGGAAGCAAATTATATTTGCTGCACATTTGACAAAGATTGGAAGATGTTCTCTACCCCCACCACAGCCCCATGGAAGTCACGAGTGATTAAGGAGATATAGAAAAGGAGACACTGACTGTTCTCCCTCCTATCAGACAGGTAATCCCAGGTGACTGGTATGAAGGGGAAAGCTTTCTGAACTGTAGGCTGCCCCTTGACACTGCAGTGATATTTGGGAAAAGTCGAAGCATTATTGTGTCATTCGTGGCAAAGTTGCCCCAGTTTATTTATAATTTTGTAGTTGTCATTTTAGGTACATGCACAGTTACTGTATATCTGTTATTCCTCAGAAAATCCCGTTAACTGAGTTCAATTCTATCATTTATCCATACCCCAAAATTGCTAATTTACTTCTAAATCAAAGTCTGCCTTCCCTCCAATCCTTTCATTATGTGAACTTAAGGCTTCAGAGTAAGATAATTTCCCAGCAGAGCAAGGCTACTGACTTTGCCTGCAAAACAACCTGGATAGAGTCCTCCACTGCAGAGTTAATTCACATACTGGACTTCTTAAGCAGTAGCAGTGGATGACATTTAGGATTCCTGCAGAGGGCCAGCATGCAGTACTGCTATTAAAGGTGGTTTTCTTATTACTGTAGAGGAGACTGTTTTTGTATTTCTTAGAGGCGCAAGAGTTTAGAACTGCTCATGCACTGAACGTCATATCCAGTAGGCAGAATCCAAAAACCTCCTGCTTAGGTCCCGTCTAGCCTTGGAGGTGTCCAAACTCCATAGGGACCTCACTTTTTAGGTCAAAAGTACTCCCAACATCTGGAGTTGTGTGCCTGTGTATGTCTGGAACTGTCCTAGTTTTGACAGAGCTAGCAACATTTTGATTAACTCATGCTATGGCCCGTCAGGACTCAGGAACTGTGTTTTCCTTCACTCAGGTGTCCTGGGGTGCTCAGTCCAGTAGGCATTTTCAGTGCTTACCTAACACACCAACAAATGGCATGGGCAGCCTGCATGTGGAAGGAGGGAACAGAGCAGCTGATAGGGCAGAGAGCAGAAAGCAGGGCAGTAGATTAGGCAGGGGTAGGGGATCAGAGTGGGACTTGGGGTGGGTGCAGGGTTTAGTTTGTGGCATGCCTGCCAAAGAGTTTGGGCCCCCATTGGGTTAGTAGCTGCAGCACTCTCCCAGGAAATGAAAAACCCGAGTTCTAGATCCTCCTCATCTTGAGGGGTTTTAAACTCACAGCTCCCATGAGCATCCCCTAACCACTAGGGCAATAGAGCAGGCTACATAGAAACATTTTTCATCCATCCTGGGGAACTAGGCCACTGTGTAGAGAGGAAGGCGGTACTCATTGTGATGTAGAGGGAGGGAAAGGACACATGCCTTCATGACTCAGTAGCCTAATGGCAAGTGTTTTTCCTCAGATAAAGGAGATCAGGGGTCTGGCTCCTGCTAGGATGGTTCTTCCTGTATTTTACATTAAGCAATTGCTGGATAAAATACAGGAACAGCACTGAGAGCAGGATGAGAACTGAGGAATCTCTGCTCTCAAGACCTAGCCCTAGCAATAAGAACTGGATCTTCAGATGGTATAAATCAGCATAGTCCATTGTTATGAGAACTTATACCAGCTAAAAGATTTGATCTTAAAAGTCATAATCAGCTTGTGCTTAGCAGTGTCAGAGATTAAGAGCAGAGAGTATCTTGGGCGAGGAATCAGGTTTAGAAAGACCATTGGGATCAGTCTCATTTCCTGAGGTTTCTCTCCCCTCCCTCAACAGGAAGTTAGTACACTCATTGCACCAACCAGCCAAGGCTGTCCTCCAGGAAGAGTCTCTCTCCCTCCAACAATTCTAGAAAAAAAATCCAGATGGCAGAAAACCTTCTGGACTCTTCAAGTCAATGGGAAAAATTCCACATTTCAGTCCTACATGAAGGACATAAAAAATATTTTAGTGAAAGTTCATATACAGGTGGGTGCCGTTGGATTTGATGTTCCTCTTTTGGAGACAGAAGTAATGACTCACAACCAGCACTAAGTATTACATGCTGCGAGTAGCATTATGCTCTATAAATTTGACTTTTGAAATGAAGCAGGCTTCAAGGAGGAATATGGACAGTACGTAGGGACGTACTACGTATATATATATATATTCATTAATTCAGCAGTTGAAGACAAAGATATAAAACTAGTATTGAACAAATGCAGCATTATGGGACAAAAGCTATGGGATATAGTTGCCTCTAATAATTTTTCTCCTCAGAATCCAAGAAGGCCCAGCAGTATTAACCTTTTTAGTCAATATTTGTTACCTTCAAGCTTTCAGATCTAAAGAGCCCCAAAGCCAAATCCCTAATGCAGCAGTCCTTGTTGAAATGCACAGAAGGGCTAACTAGCAGTTTATGACAGATTGTCTCTTTTTGGCTGAACTGTGCTGCCCTAGTGCACAATCTTTTGCTTTAGCTCAAGATGAATTCCCAGGAGACAGAGTGTTCTCTTAACCAATTTGACCAGTAACTCTAGCTTCAAAATTTGAGGAACAAGCAGAAGGAAAATATGATTTAGAATTGAGGCTGGCCAAGGATATGTATGTTCGATTTGGTTTCAGGTACTTTATTGAACTGTGGAGCTGCAATCTCATTTGTGTCTTCTGAGAGGAGAGAAGAAATCAATTCTCACCCAGCAGGAAACAATATATTCATTTCATAGGCCTGATGTACCCTATCCTAGGATGTAAAATTGAAAAAAAAAAAAAAAAAAGGAGTCAGTTCCACAACTAACTTTCTTCAACTGAAAGGCAACAGCATGGGCATACGTGATTGGAAAAGTGTGAGATACAAAGGAAAGAGCTATTGAACCCATACCAGGTTCCAGTTTCCCCAGGTTGGATGCTTCAGAGACAGGGAGCTTCAGGCTTCTGGCTCCTTTGCTGAGAAGACAGCAACAATTCTTCTGCATCCCTCAGCCTGCCTGTTTCTGACCCTGAGAAGTCTGTCACTACTACATAGTTAGTTCAAGTCTAATGCAGTTCCTATCACAACAACTGACAGGGGAAAGTTCCCTACCAGCCTTATCAATGAAGCATTACAAATAACCTGAAAGCAATGCAAGCAAGTCAGTTCCCGCTTATATAGGAACCCAGGTCACTACAGCTTTATACATGGCTTTCCTTGTGATAAGGGAGGGATTCTAATCTCTTTTACACTGACGTAAACCTGAAGCCAAGCCACTGGCATTGCTTCAGGTTAATGAATGGAGCAGCACACCTCAAGATGGGGTCGAAAGATCCTAGACTATTTGCAACCAGCTACCATGCAACAGATCTCCACTCACCTTCCACTCTAACACTGCCCTGAAATTGGGATTGAACTCCACGCATTTCAGACCCCATATTTATGTAGTTTCCACACACATTTGGAGGGGTGGGAGGAAGTTTCTTGTTTTGCTCACTTGTTCAGATGGTCTAAAAATTTTATACCTGTTCAAACCAAGGCAAATGCTGTATTTGCTCCCCCCACCCCAGTCCTTTTTGGTAAGCCACATTGAGAGTCTTGCAAAAGTAGAGCTCTGATGATAAATAATTGGGACTTAGCTTCCTCAAAGTGGAGGCATCCCCTCCACAGAAGTGGAGCAAATGAAGTCTCAACCCACCGAGAGTGGTGCAAATATTTTAAAACTGCATTTTAAACCAAGATCCCAGAGAGGTGTCTTCTGCTCCACTCTATCAGAGGTCACAAATTACCTGCCAAAAGCTAGTCAGCACACTAGCTTTGCAAAGTTTTCTAATTAGGCTTGTTCCTTCCCCATCTGTAATTGGATCCATAGCTGGTAGGTTGGGTTTATGGACCAGGATTTCTCCTGAGTGCATATGCCTAAGGCTACAGTTGTCTTAGTGGCGTGATAGTCATGTCAGAAGCAGTGTTAAAGTAAACAGGCTTTCATGGGGGACAAGATGACAAGGAATGGGTCCCTCTTTTAGGTGGAGATATTAGGAAAGAGTAGCCTGTAACATAATTGAGTGGAAGGCAAGTTAGCTTACCAATTATCCTAACCACTTGTCACAGTTGCATTTTATTGCACATGCATGTGTGCGACTTGTTAATTACTCTGAAGACCACAGCCCTGCCCAATATCATCCTTCTCTGCAGAGTTTATTATCTTTCCAAGACATTGTTTTAGTCTCTCTCACCAATGACTACTTTTGAGAAAGCAATTCCCTTACAATCCACTGCAGTTCTTGGGGATAGGGTGTGGCGTGCACAGTAGGGGAGTGCTACTATGCAGAGCCGCCTGCCTCACTGTGCCAGGCCCAAAATCTCACCTTGGGAGTCTCCCTTGGGCAGCCAGCTTCCCACTTCCTGAAGAACACCCGCAAGCCTGAAGTAACACTGCCACCACCCAGGCACTGGTCTCTGGCAGGGCTCTATGCAGCCTGGGGCACACACAACCTGCAAACCTTGTGGGTGCTTTGCCCATTGTAATATTTCTGGGTGCTTCTTTCAGCCCAAAGTATCCCTAGATAGCACCAGGAAAAACTGAAGGAGAATAGAAAGGGAAAAAAAACTTTGCTGGCCAAGCAAGGGGTGGAAGGCCCCCCTCCTCAGCCAAGGTACAGCAATACAGGTTGTAACCTGACCCCTTTATTGATCAGAGTTGGAGGGGCAGAGGGGGGGTAGAATGAGGAAGTCAGAACACACCTTCAGCAAACGTGAGTCTTTTCAGAGATTGGATACGGTGATCATTTTAAGATGCAACTGGCCTACACATAATTCCTAACTCCTGACTGGTTTCCAGGTTTTTGCTTACAGAAAACCCACCAGGCAGCACCCTGGGGTGCTTGCTTGAAGGTTTCAAAATGCCCACTGCAAGGAAGAGAGGGCTCCCTGCCTCCCCTAGGAATTTTATCTGGTCAGGTCATCAGATCGACCAGCCTGAACCAAGAAGAAAGCA